TATAGTAGGGACCCAAAAAAGGGACCATAATTTTGACAACCACCCACATGCCTACTCTGCCATGCAACCCTGTATCATCTTGAGTCGGTCATGACCTTGGAGATGCCAACACCAGTGCTGGCCGCCCCGAAACCTCAGCGGTTGGATTCAGCCTCTCACGGGTGGCGGGTGACAATCCAAACACTATGACTACTTGATGATCGTTTGAAGATGGAGACCTTCAACCCGCCAGCCCACATCCTTAGAATTGGAATGGTAACATTGGATCTTGAGCATGCATAGCCTTGGCTCTCCTCCCTTCAGTCCGATCCGCAATGTTGCCATTGATACTGGTACTCTCGAACACGGCAGTTGAAAAAGCTGCTTAAAAGCCGCATCGGCAAAAGTTCTTCCAGCTCATCACTGTGACATGCAACGATGGGAGGCTGTTAAGACCTAGGTCAGGACTTTAGGGGTGCAATGCGAAGAGCTCCTGCCGACACCTTCACTAACATTGCGCACAAAGGGATCCATAGCGGCGCAAAGAAGACCACATCACTGCACAAGGACTGTTGCAAATCCCAGCCAAGCAGTTCTGTAGGAAATGCTGCATCACGGCAAGCCTTCCTAAGCCAAAGCCGCAAAGCCATGGCACTAAACCGCAGCACGCGATCTACAAGTCTATCTGCAGACTGCCCCCGCAAGGCCTCTCAGAGTCCCGGTCTACCCTAACAGTCTCACCTGTAGAGACCTTCACCCAATGCCCGATCCATAGGATATAAGCTGGCCGGTCCCGCTTTCACAAGGCATGCGGGGCAGTCCGAAAAAATGAGCTTCAGGGGCCAAGGACGCGAAACCGCTGCACACCTTTGCCGGCGCGCAGCAGCTTACCCTGGCATGTCATGCAGCAGGCCGCTCAGCTGATAGTGCAGCACATATCTTTGCCACGCCGGTGCCTGTCCAGGCTTGCTTCCAAACAGGAAGCTGAAATGTCTGATAATTTCCCTAAATAAAGGTACTCCAATATGGGCCCCAAGATACTATAATCCTTATTATTGGGACACCCGAAGAGGTACCCCTAATTTTTGGGAAACCCTCATCTGCTCCGCATAGCTCGCGAACCGGAGGAATTTGCGAAGTGGACTCCGCATGAGCAGAAAGATCTACCCAACGCACCCCGCCTTCGCAGCCAAGGGTTCTCGACTGCATCCGTTGCAGAAGGTCTTCCAGCCTCCTTGTTGCCAAAAGTGATTAAAACTGACATCTGAATCTGAAGTTGCATGCTGCAAAAAGGAGCTCCGCAACGTTGAACCCCCCACAGCCTCACGCAAGGTAAGCTGGCGGAAGAGCTCTTGCGCACCCTGGCATGGCCAAAGTGAGGCGTCACGGTGGAAACGTCAGTTCAGATCTGCCGCCGGTGCCGCGGTGGTGGATCTCAAACCACTTGCAACAGCCCCGACATGCCACTAGCAAACTGATGAATAGCACAGGTCGCTATTCCTGGCCTGCTGTGGAGTTTGAGGATAGCTTAGTTTCACGTGGGTGCTGACTATCTAGCAGCTTGCAGCTTATTTCAGAAGAAGCCCCTGCTTGCCCAGGATTACGGAGAAGGCCGAATCATCGTACTCACTACAGTCAAGCTCGCTGCTGAGGCCTCGCCATGGCTGTTCCTGAGCATCGCCGCTGCTTCTCGTCCAACCAACTTCCAGCACCCAATAAGAATAGTAATAGTAGTAGTAGTAGTAGTAGTAGTAGTAATGATAAGAGTAGTACCAATAGTAGTAATAGTAGGAATAGCATTGATGATGATACTATAAAAATAAGAACAATAGTAATAGTAGTAATAACAGTAATACGAGTAACAATAAGCAAGCGCAATCTCTTGCAACAGAGAGGCCAGTGGCTACTCCGGAGCTCGGGTTCTAAGATGCTGCGACTCATGCAATGCCGCTCAGCATAGCAAGAAACAGTCTCAACAAAAGACTGGAAGGGCTCTCACCCGTTGAATCTTATTTGAGCTATAATCTAAACTCCTAGTATCCTCCTTAACAGCCCCTATAGTAGTCCCCTATACAATCCCCTTTATAACCCCCCAGCACATAATCCCTACATAATCACTATATTACCCTATATGATCCCGTTAAAGGAGCTGATTTGATAGCCAGGCCGCTTTGCTGCATGATCATCCTCTCGATCTGCGGCTCTTCTTGTGCCTGCCACAGGGCCTCCCCGGTGACCAGGTCCTCCCGGCTAGGGTTATAGGGGGATATATATATATATAGGGATTATATAGGGACTCTATATATAGGGATTATATAGGGACTATATAAGGGTCCAAGGACCCAAATAATAGCAACTAAGGCAACCGTGGCGCAAAGCATTTGCTCAGGTACTCTTGCATCGGAACCCCGGGTCAAGAAGTCAAGTCCTGGAAGGTGACACCTATGCTCCAGACATCGCACCGCTCCTCAGACTGCTGCATTAGACGCATGCACAATGCTGGCAAATCCCGTCCGCAGTGGGCTTGCATGGCTGAGTAACGGTTGCAGAGAATCCCAGCTGATTTCGCCAAGGATCAGAGTACGACCTCTGAATGACTTCTGGCGCCAGGTACATCAGCGAGCCGCAGCGTGAGGACAGCTTTTGCCCCTTTCGAAAATTGCACGCCAGGTTGAAATCTGCTAGTTTCCTGGGTGTCAGGGAAATCCATCACTTCAGCTCCGTAAGCTTCCACAGCGACTGAACCAAAAAAAACAGGAGTTACAAGAAATCAGTAAAGACCAACTGGCCTGCACTGTTTCAGCGAAGTAGCAATGTAAAGGGAGTAGTCGGGTCCTCCAGGAGGAGGTTCCCAGGTTTAATGTCGCGGTGCGCAATCCTCAGCCGTATTGCTTGCTCGACCCCGAGTCAAGGCGTTCGGGATACGCACTCTGCGCAAGACGGTTCCGGAACCGTCTGTGGAACATTGTGGCACAACACCAAAAACTGCCCTAAACCCTAAACGCTATATCATTAATGTTATTGTTATGTTCTTACTGCTATATTGCTACTATATTATTACCAAGTTACTACTATACTATTACTAAATTACTACTATATTAGTAGTAAATTACTATATGATAACTATACTGTGGCCAAAAGGCTTGTGATGGTGGAGGTAGGCCACGGCCGTCAACATCTGCCATACAAAGGTTGCCACCTGGAAGCATCTCTCGATATCACGCCCTTCCGCAGCTTGTGAAGACATACTCTAACCCCACACGGTTAAGGGTTTAGGGTTTAGGGTTCTAGTATATACCCTATTACAATGTAGTAGTTTCCATTGTCTTGTTTAGTATCCCTATATGACCCCCCCAATATAGCCCCTATTAACCCTAAAGCCTATATTCCGTTATTCCCTGCTAACCTCCAGTATCTCCAGTAACCCTAAACCCTAAACCCAGCTCAAAAAAAAAAAACAAGGAATATGATCCCTATTCATTCCCTACTATAACCCCAATATATACCAACATATACCCTACTAATCCACAGTGATTTACGAACCCAGGAAGGTGAAGAAGCAAGAGCTCTGAAGCTCCGCGCCTCGCTTCGACGTGGCGTTCTGTACAGCTGCCCAGCTTTGTCCTGGCTTGACTCAGGCCTAAACTTGCAGGTGGTTAGCGAGGAATAGGGACCATAAGCCCTACAGTATCCTTTCAAAATAAATTCTCTCGTTCCCTACGAACCCTCAGTAAGTAGAAACTTCGTGATGCGCCTTGGCACCATCCTAAGCCCAGGTCCTTCCGAAAACGCTGTGAGATCCACTGGTGCAGATCTCCACCGAGGCACAAATCCAAGACCAGGCAGAGGGAGTTATGACTGCGAAGAGTCTCCTGGGTTGCTGCGGTATTGAAGGCTCTTCTGCAAAGCCCCACTCTTGGCACCAACGTTATGAATTACCTGTTGAGGCTGTGGCATGGAGTCGAACTATGTGAGGATGGCTGAGACATTTGGTGATTCGCATCTCCAAATCCTTGCATGGAATCACCCCGCTTGAGGCTGAGAATTGTTGCAAAAGCAAACTCTTCGCGGATCGCTGCCGAGGCGCCCCATAGGCAGGCATCACTTTCACCGCATACTTCTGGTTGGTCCCTCTCCTGACCTAGGCAAGGGCCCTGCCACGGAATCAAATGAATGATCAAATTACTATATAGCAGTATATTGTATATCTTATTGTACGTTATAGTATATTAGTATTGCTATTCTTATTGTCACTAGTATTACTATTAGTATTCTTATTACTACTATTATTGTTGCTATGATAAGCAAAGAAACTGAAAGATGACGCAAACCTGCTCAGCCCGTCTTCGGCTTCCACATTGCCAGGCTCCCGACAGCCAGGCTAACCGTTCCAAACCTTAGCACGCTCCCAACTCCACTGCTTAGCAGAAAATGCTCTCGACAGCTGAGTTGTGCACTTCCCTTCACCCAGCTTCCGCGTCACGATATACCTCTCTTCTCTCAGCAGTTAGGCGAGGATTCACTGTAACACTTCATCGGACAATCCATCCTGGCAATGCCGAGCAAAAGCTCAGCTTGGCTTCTCATACATGCACAAGTTGCTGTCCCTGTGATAAAAAAATGTTTCCGAATATAAAGTGGGCAGTCACAGTATCTCAAATCAGCTAGAGTCGGTGGGGGGCGCCTGTCTTCCAACGCGCTGTTTATGACTGGAACTGCAGTCGCAGACCTGAAACTTGAAACTCCAAAGCAAATTACACACGGCAAACCAAAAAGCAGCGACATACTTGCTGGACCTGCTAGTGGTTTCGAGTATCTTGCTCTAAGCAATTTGAATTTATAATGCCCAAACTTTCAGCTGGAGGTGAGCTGTGCCTACTCAGCTTGTCTCATCCTTTCATGGAGCACATCCTCTATATTACCCCAATATATCCCCTACATAACCCCTATATAAAACCCTATAACCCCTATAGTTTCCATGTTATTTTCCATTATCCCCCATATAACCCCCAATATAACCCCTATATAGCCCTATATAATCCC